GGTGAACTGGGCGAACTGGAGCAGCCGGGCGTGGGCGGGGAGGGAAGGGGCTCCGCAGGGTTCTCTCGAGCTGTCTCAGGACTCGCGTCCCTCCAGGGCCCTCTCCCAGGGCAGCTCACCCGCGGGAGCCGCAGCCACACGTGTCGGTGACCGCCTAATCCCGCCGCGGAGACCTCCAGCGTGCGCGGCTCTGCAGGGAGGGCATCCCCGCAGGCGCCTTCCTCGCCGATAAAGTTAAGTGGGTGCGAGAATTCAAAGCTTGTTTGCCATTAAAGAAAAAGGCATCCAGGTCAGATTCAGTCCCGCTGGGAACATCCCTCTGCTACGGGGGCAGGGGCTCCCCGCACTCGGTTGTAGCTCAGCGTGGCGAGAGGAGACGCCTCCTCCCTGTCTGCCAGGCCCTAGAACATAGAGGTACCTGCTCTCAAGACCCTCGACCTTCTGTATTTTTCCTTTTTGGACACCTTTTGTCTCTCCTCGTTGACAGACATCACCATCACTGGGTGTCGTTCATGCTGGGTGCAGAAGGCAGTTTCGGTTGATGGCTGGGCTAGGATGGGTCATGCTGCTGAGAGGACTCTGCCCTGTGAGTCCAGCAGGCTGAAATGCATCAGTGAGGTCTCATGAGAAAGCTGCTACAATGGAGAATGCTCTTCTGATGGGGATTAATGGTCCAACTTCAATTCACCTAAAAAAAAAATTATGCCGTATCCCTCCCACACACACACAGTGGCTGAATTCAGGATCTGAAATGATGCGTTTCATTTCACCGTGACTCTCCGAAGAATCTCAAGCCCAGCCACGGGACAGGCTGACCAAGGTGTCGAGCAATCATAAAGCTGTCTGTGATGTTTAAGAGCAGAAGCTGGAGATGCCCCCTTCCCAAGATTTACACGTGCTAGAGCTAATTATAAATGACCAGGGGAAAGGGTAGTGGTAGAGCTCGAGAAGCCTGTTGTAGCAAAATTGCTGCCATGTGTCATTAAAGCTGTGCACACATGGGGATTGTTGGTATCAGCAACTGCAGCCCCCGCTGTGCTTTAGGGAGCTCAGCCCAGCACAGGACTGATGCTGGTGGGCTCAGGGGAACACAGGTTTTCCAGAGGAGTTTGAGCAGAAAAGCAGAAGGGCATGCAGTGCTGCTCGAGAAACCGGTGACTGGGTAAAAAGGACAACCTGCCCCGAGGGATTAATGGACAGAAATGAGGCCAAGGAGAAACCTTGGTCAGAGCAGTCAGGAAACCTTTCCTACATGGTCAGCTGGAGGAAGAGAAATTTAGCAAGGGTAGGGGGGCTGTGGAAGAAGCAGGGCTGTGGAAAGCCCTGTTCTGCTGCTGGCTTGAGTGATAGGAGTTTGTGCCTGCTGCAAGGCATTTTAAAAACAAAGGAAAATGCACAGAACTAACATTTCTTCCCTTCTTTGGACGGTAGGAATGTTTTAATTGAGAAATTTGTTTTAATTACATTAGGTGATATCACAGTCTATTTTACAAGTTCAGGGTAAGAGGATGTGTGGACCAGTTACACAGAAATCCAGTGAAAGGATAAAAACCTACAACATGAGAAAAATGAAAAGGTTAACTTAATCCCCCAAAAATGAAACGCATTGAGAGTTTGGTGTGAGTGGAAATGGGAGATTATACCAGGATCCAGAGAAGTAGAAAGGATGAGACTAACATAATTTACAGCATTGGTTCTGCATGACCATCGTTTGCCCGTGTTCAGAGACAGCCTCTATTCCTCAGTGCATCGCTGAGCAGATGGTCCTGTCTCTGAGGGTTTGGTCTGGTCTTGTCAGAGGAGAAAGCAAAATAACTGATGGGCAAAGGTCACAACCCACGTAGAGCTGGTCCCCAGGGTCACAGCCTACAGGAGTGTCTTCCACTGGATAGTCGGGGGGTTCTGCAGCAAGAACTGTATGGAGGAAAACTAAAACAGCTCCAAAAAGCCCCATCTCAAACGTAGAAAAGTCTCACTCTGGAAGTGCTTACGAGAAGGTCGTCATCATAGAATTTGGTTTCTATAATAACATTACCACTGTGGATGGAAAAGAGGAGAAAGAAGAGATATTAGAAGAGTGCATGAAGAGTAGAAAACGACCACTGCTCTCAACGCTCTCACAAGCCTGGGCTGACATCTTACCCCCCACAACACGAGCTTTGGTTTGGAGCCGCATGCGATGAGCACTGTGTCCTGATCCGGGGGGCCATCAGGGCTGAAGGATCTCTCCACTGCATTCCTACATGGAGCAGTTCCCCCCCATCCCTCCCTTGTCACCCCCTTTCGGGGCACAGTACCACGCAGGCTGCAGAGAGTGCTCACAAACAGCAAACTTCTACTCACTTCTGTTGCTAAAAATAAACTAGCAGTCCCAGCACCTTCAGGCCCTTCTCTCTTGCAGTGAATTGTGAAAACCGACGGGAATGCTTTTTTTATTCCCCATCTCTGTCCTCTAGTGCTGAGCAAGCTACTTCAACCAACTTAACATGTCATTTTCCTCAAGAAGTGCTTAAATGCAAACGCACAAGCATATTTTATACAAACTGCAATGGAAATGTAGATTTGGGTGTGACAAAAGCTCTGATGATTTAAATTGCTGACTTTGGGATTTTGGTAGACAAAAGAAAGAACTTTGGGGCTGTTACAACATTGGACACCTGAGCAGTGTGATCTGACCATGTCTAAATAACCTAGCTCTTGAAAATTGAAGGAGCAGTTCCATCTCCACTGTGGCTCTTGGTATCTGTAACACTGGCAAAGCTGAACCTGGCAAGAGTGTAAGGTTTTTGCTGTGGCGTGGCCAATGCTTGAACTCAAATGTCAGGGAATGTTCTCAGTCCGATATTCAGTCATCCTGGGAATCCTTTGCACAGAGTGCCTTGTTAGCACCAAATACCACATCTCCATTCTCCCCTGCTATGGAAACACCGAGACAAACATGAGGTCTTTGGGAATATCAGAATGTGAGGGGTTCTCCAAGTCTTGGCAGCTGAAAAAAGCTGATTTCTCTGGGCCACAAAAAACTTTTGGATTTCTTTGAGCTGGTGATTCTACTGAAAAGCCTCAAGAATGACTTTAAGACACCTCCATGAATAGGAGAGAGATCTGGGCTGCCCACTATCAGTGGACAGACTCCAGGGAAAGAATGGGACACTGGAAAATCCTCAAGGTCACTTGAGAACTGGACTCTCACCACTCCCAGTCCTGAAAATGCCTTGATTTCCCAAGACGGTCAAAACCAACTTGTCAGATGTCTTTGTTTCTCTACTCTGATTCCCAAATCTGGCTCTTCCTGTACTGACTAAAAGCCACCAGCTCTGGGAGCCGAGGATGTGTGTAGCACCTATGAGGTTCTGAGCAGATTGTGCCAGGGAGCCCTATTTGAGCACTGATGCTCTCTTCTGAGTCCGCTCTCTCTTTGAAACATGCTGTGAATAGAAATCAGTGATGGTAGTTCCCATCCCGGTGCCTTCTCTACATGACTGGCTTTCCTCCAGACAGGGAACAAGAGGGAAAACGCTTGAGAGGAAGGTCTTCCAGAGGACACAGTGACCTTGCAGTGAGACTGGCTGCTCCCTGTCTGCCTCTTGTTGGCAGGAGGATTCCCATACCCTCTGTCTCTGCTGGCAACGTGCTCCTCATGTCCTTGCCAGCACCCATCCAGCACTGCAGGGAGGGTGGCTTTTTGTCAGTGATCATAGCTTCCCAGGGGCCTCCCTCAAGGAGCCTTTTCCATCATCCCACTAAAGCCTGTGCCTTGCTGTCCACACTCAGAGCAATGTCCAGCATGCATTGTTCTGACATAAGTCCTGGGGATCGCTGACCTACTCAGAAGTCAATGTGCAAATAGCCACCAGGACTAGACGTTTCTGAGGAAGGTGTGTGAATCCCATTACAGGTGACTTTAAAATGACTGTTTCCTACCTGTTAAGAGTATTTTATCCCCAGATACAACTCCATATGACTAAATGCATAGTTTATAATCCAATGTAAAAGACACAAAGCTTGGCAAAATGGTACAGTGATGAAACAAATGCTAGAGCAGCTCCTATGGGTGATATATTGCATGAAAAACAACCACCTTGGACAAGAGTCAGTGATCAATAGCTGGATTTGAAAATGGCCCAAACATCTCTTTTTTTTTTTTCCTGGATGTAAGGGGTATTAAGCTGCAAAGCATTTTAAAATTCTTTCACAGTTCACCTTTCAAAAAAATTAAGCAACTCTAATAAAGGATCCGTTCCACTTTCTCCAAACTTTTATTGCTATATTAATGCAAATTGGACCTATGGGAAAGAAGGTAATGAGGTTGGCTTAGCCCCTTTTATGTCTCAACAGCTAACAGTAGTGAGGGTGATTCAGAGTTGGTAGCAGCTCCCTCTCTTCATTCCCACTGTGGCCCCCAAGGAAATGCCACACACTGCTTTTTCTTTGCCTGCTCTCAGATTCTGTAAGCCCAAGGCACTCACGTTAAAACGTTAGCTGGCATCATCTGTGATTCAGGTGCTGCCTCTATCAAGGACTGCCAAGTGTTTGTGGAGTTAGGAATCACAAAACCGAATTCAAAGAACCATTCTGCAAAGTAAAAAGAAGATCCAGAGGCATTTGAAAGAAGATAAAATCCACAAATGGTCCTTTTTGCTTTTCACCTGACAGGCTGGGGAACTCCCTAAACTGTCCTGCTGTGCTGCCAACATTTTACATTTAAATTACTTTGTACAGCTTAAACTGCACTGAACCCTGCCCTCCTCTTAAAGCAGATACTCCCTTTCTAAAATAGCTGATGGTAATGATAAAGCCACGCCACTTCCTTAGCATTCATCACACCTAACTGGGAACAGGGAAACCACACTCCCCCTCTTGCAGACATCCCCTGGATCCAGTTGAGACTAAGTGTACAACTGGTTGCCCAAAAGACAAGGAGCTCAATGTTTTATCTCCCCCTCCTCTGCCCCAGATTAAGGGTAATACTGCAATGAGGGAGACCAGATGTGCAGCTATGGCGTCACACGGACAATACTTTGTGGCACTGCTGTAACCAAAGCAAACCAGAGGCTCCTTTAGTCCGGCCTCCAGTCTGGTGGTGGCCAGCACTAGGTGCTTCTGAGGAAGATGCATGAATCCCCATAATGGGTGACTCTAAAATAACCTATTTTCTTGCCTCAGGCAGCCTGCGGTGGATTTATGCCCTGAAGCATGATTACCTAGATTTTTTGCTTACATAACAAAGTGTTAATACACTTATGAAATGCTATCCCTAATATTGTGGCCCATTAGTCCTGACAAGATGAGTGCTTCAGTACTTCTCTGAAAAATTAAAATCACCACGTTCAACCCATTTTAGTTTCTCTAATCCCCGTCACGCTGGGGGTCACTCCCTGCGCTGCAGCAGGACTGCACACAGAGCAGATGCATACCTTCTAGACACTGCCCTTTGAAATAAACTTTCTGTTCCAGTCGGAATTTTTCCATTTGTTCTGCTGAGGAAAAGTTTAACTCCCGAGACACTGCTTTGCATTTCAGGATTTTTTTAGGAACTCGAGCTGTGAAACAGATAAAGAAGCATTATTTGGACACAATAAAACAAACCCAGCTGCTTCAGGTGCTATAATAATACTTTGAAATAATGATTAGTGCTAGTACAAGATCATAGTAGCAGGAGAAATGCAAACACAACGGACTTTGTTTTCACAATTGCAGGCGTGAAATCCAAGATGCAAATGGGTTAAGAACCTTGCCCAGAGCCAGGGATGAAACTTGTGACAGAACCAGGGATACAACACTGATCTCTCAGACTCCTGGTTCTTAGCTCTTTATTACTAAAAGACACAATTCTTCAGGTAAAAATATGAGATGCAACTTAAATCTTTACTTTAGGAAGTGTGCTGAAGATCACAAGCAGCCAAAGGGCTGCTTAGTATACCAAGCGTGTTAGCCCTTCTCACTTCTCCTTCCCTTTCAGACTGTGCATCCCCAGCAAACCACAAACGGCTATTTCTCAGCCCAGCAGCACTGTTTCAGCCATCTCACGTAGCTCTGAATTCGTCCTGTAAAAGTATACAAAATGTCTGTTCCCCAAACACTGAGACCCACAGAGGCAGTAAAGTCAGTACCAAACTAGAGAGTTTAAGAGAGAGAGAGTCATTTGGCAATCCAGGGTATCTGGGCTCTTGCAATGGGTGAGACACCAACAGCGGCAAACCGTACTTAGATATTTCATAAGGCTTTTTTTAGAGGTGGAGGAGTAAGAGAAGGGACAGTTTGGGAGCATTGATTGAATATGCTGAAAGGTCCTAATCAGGAGAATACGGGGGGGAGTCAATATACTAAAAATCTCCCAAGCCCATCATACTTCAGTGGTGTGATTGTACATAATCCTTCCTGCGTATTAGAAAATGTTTCATGTAAATTTATTAGAAATAAAGAGGGGAGGGAATACAGCTGGCATGTGCTTTATGAGCCAAACTGTTCCTAAAAGGAAAACGTATCAAAACATCTATGAGCAGACAGAAGGCTGCTGTTTAATACAAGGAAGAGTCTACCAGACCCCAGGCAAATCCATCTAATGTAGAACAGTTTAATGGAGTAGGACCTTGATGTGAAACCAATCTAGAGAGCTGGAGGGTTAGGGAATGTAAGCTACCATCCTAACCCATGGAGAAGTACACAGCCCATGGTTTGTTTACCAAAAAAAAAAAAAGGTAAAAAAGAAAGTTAAAAGTGTAAGGGAGGAGTTTTAAATGTAAAAGCTCTCTAATTATTTTTAGTCTTTTTTTTTTCAGCATAGAAATCTGCATGGCACCATCCTTTACTGCCCTCGCAAGTACAGACTACGGCCTGTTGTGAATAAACATCCCTTTGCAGTTAAGTGTAAAATGACTTCTGCAATTTAGTAATTAAGTTTCTTTCATCCCCAAGACAGACTGCTGAGAATGTTTGCTTTAATATCGTAAAACTACAAAATAAAAGGTTACTTTTAATAAAAGTAGGACTGTGTAGTCTTTAAACCCCTGATCTAAGAGATTTTAATTGATATGTATACCATCAAGCAGAAAATTTTAATTGAAATTATTTTGAAATTATTTATTTTAAACTCATTTTGGTTTTATACCTTTTTTTCCCATTAAAAAGATAGAAGAGAAAGAAGTTGGATTCTCATCAGTTAGGACCATTTTAAAACATGCTGAAATGCAGGTAAGCATAGACTCTATCCTAAATTTAGTACTGCTTTTTGTTAACCGGAGGATATACTATACCTGCACATTTATTTAAGCACTTATATAGCTAATATACATTTAGTCAGAGACTTAATTCTGATTAGATTAGAAAATGATGATTGACACATTTCTTGTTTGCTAAGCAAGTAATTTTGGGTCCAACTGTGTTTAGTTAGAAACTGAAATTCAATTAAAATACCCGTATCATTAATGTTTTCAAAGAGTTTAATAAAACTACCTTAAATATTTGGGATGTGTAAGAAAGAAAGCTATCTTAGCCAAACTTCTTTTATATTTCAAACTACATCTTTTCTTAGACAATGAAAGGATTGTTTGTATTTCCTGAATGAAAGCTCGCTGTGGTGACTGGGAACAACACTGGGGATTCTACAAGTGCTAGACCTCAGCAGCCTACTCTAAGATTTGCTTGTATATTGGAAGAAACCAAACTTTACAGATTTGCGTCTCCCAGATTACCTCCAAGTTTTGAATGGCACTGTCACTGAATTGAGCTGACTGGGTACATGGAAAAGCTCCTGCTGTCAAAAGCTGGTTTAGATGGTTAATTCCAGTTTCAGGTGCTCAGGCAGTCATTTTCACTACTTTCAGCGGTTTAATGTTAAGACTTCAGCAGCAATCCAATACCATATTAATATTCTTTTTATTTAATCTAAGTGGTAATAGTAAGTTTAGGTAGTAACACAGTATCATTTGAAACTTAAGAGTTAATTTTTTAAAGAAACCTGTACTTAAATCAAATAGAAGTCCTGTTTAAAAAGCAAATAGAAGTCCTGTTTAAAGGAAATAAATTTTATTCACTCTGCTATATATTTGATTCTTTGTTTGCTATGTCTAGACTGTGATTTGCCCTGAATAGCCACAGAACACACACACACGAGTACTTTGAGACACACATGGCCTTAATTTTAAAACAATTATTCTAACTGTTTGCCCTCACTGTTTCTTTGCAGGACTGTACCAGAACCACATTTCCCCACACCTTCTTTTAATTCATAGTCAGATTATCCTCCTTTGTTGGACACCTCTCCCCCTTCTTAGCCTATTTATTGAGAATAATCTATCCATCTCAGCCTTCTTTTCTTGCTAAGCCATACAAGAACAGCTTTTTCCCTCTCTTCTCCTAAGGAAGACCATCCTCCCATCTGTAATCTTTTCAGTCGCTTCTCCTAATAGCTCTTCTCAGCACCTGTTCCAGTTTGCAGTCATCCATCTTCTAGATGGATACCTGAACTGCACACCAGATAAGGTCTTAACAATTCCTTGTACAATGGGCATTAATCTCATGCCAGAGTATGCTTTAATTAATTCCCCAAGCTCCTCTGATGAAGGTGAGGGTTCCTGTTTTATATGTGAGGAAAATCTGAGACACAGTGAGGTGATATGATTTGCCAAAGTGAGAAAGATGGCAGGAGGGAAATGGGGCAACACAACAAAGCCTCTCAAGACACAGCTCCAGCTGTCCTCTCTGCCCCAAAGCACACCTTTCTGTAGTTTGCATTGAACCAAGGCAGTGCAACAGTCTGCTGAGACAGAGTGAAGAGGATTCAAATACTAGCCACGCGTCCAAGGAGAAGCTTTTGCAGCACAAAATCTGGGAAGACTGGGAATACTTTTGGCTGATTTTCTTCTGCTTTCTAAAGCCCAATTCCTCATTTCTCCTAGGTGTCCTATTAGCTGCTGTAGGCATGCCAAATGTTACAGTTATATCAAGAAGGCAAAACATCAATAACCTGCAATTTAAGAAATTTAGTATTGAACTGATGAATTACCGCATTTCTTTTGAAAGTTGTATTTCAATTGCTTTCCTACGGGTGTATTTGAAAGTGCTGGAATGATTTTCCTTAGTGTAGGTATCTTGTGTGGTATGCATGAGTAAATGGCTGTCAAGGCCTATCCGCTCTCACTGGTATGAGAATGGGAGTACAGGTTAGCAAGGCTGAAGGAGACAAAGCTTGGAAAATGCTTTTAGTAATCACCGAGTCACAGCTTTGCTTTCCTGTAGCTCTGACCTGGAACCTCTGTTCCTGGCATCAGGTCCCTCTTAAGCTGAGACAACCTACTACTGGTCATAATAATGAACTCTTGTCATAAAGCAGATAAATGACAAAATGAGGAGAAGGCAACTCGTTTCTCTTGCACCTTAAGATGGCTTTGAAACCAGGTATATTGCTGGAAGACTACTGGACTCAGTGTTTTGCCACAGATGATCTGTACGCTCTCTGGGCAGAGAAGGATCTTTATACGCTGGTTGCCTCCTTCAGACATAACAGATTTTCCAATTTATGGGAGAGGTAAGTCCTAGTAGTGCCAGGCAGAACTCAGTCCTTGATGTTTAACCAAAAATACATCAATGTCACCAGCATAATTAAATGATCAAGTTCACTCCACTTACTGGAGATCAGCTATGCTACTCACATAATAGAAAAGCCTTCAAAATTAATTCAGTGAGGTCAGACTCTTCACAGAGCCAAAGCAAAGCTCTTGGCAAGGGACGATACCTATCACAGTGCTTTGTCACAAATGGGGAAAAGTAAGGGACAGTGAAGTCCTCTGCTACTGAGTGAGGACAGAAGTGGAAGGGCAACAGGCCTTCCTAGCAATGGTAGAGGGTCAGAAGAGCAGAGCAAATGTGCCATGTATGCCATTTTAAAGCAGAGGTCAAATTTAGTGCAGGAGAATATTAGGACCAGGCAAGGTAATAACTGCGTATGCTTCTTCCCCACTCGTTCTCCATTTGACCTCCACCTTGACTAAACCCTGTTGTCATACTGAGAAAAGTCAATATATTTTTATACTTTTCATTTTGGAACCAATGCTCGACGTAGCAAAGGTCGGCCACTCATTCCTTACCCAGCTGCGCTCCCTGCTTAGCATTGTTTAACTTGTTCCCTTTGCCAGTCACTGATCCACTCCCACTCTTCTCCACGTGTCCCCAGGTTATTGTGGTGGAAGCCTCTGAAGGTGTGAAGTCACAGCCAGGACATCTGTTCTTCAAAGCAGGGGTATGCTCGCAGCTCTGCTGACCCAGACTAACAGCACCACCCAGCCCCAAAATGCATAGTAAGGCCACACAGTACCTTCATGCTCCACTCCAGGTACAGACAGATCTTCTGTTCCTTGCCAGAGGATTTTCCCTGTTTCTGCATCCCGAAGGTTCATCCAATTTCTGATTGGGAAGCAATTAAGGAAAACAAGCTATCTACATCCCTAAACACTGTGCCTACTATTCTTTGCTAAGCCCTGAAATAGGCTACTCCAGCTGAGTTTCAGTCATGTTTTCTGATTCTCAGGAGACCAAGGAAAAGAGATGCCTTTTCCCAGAAAATAAATGAACAAACCAACCCTTGACCAGAATGAATGCAACAAGAGTTGTACAGTCACAGAATTAGTTTTCACTTCAGACTGAAGCTTGTTAACCTCATTTATCATTTGCCATTGCTTCTAAAGGATAAAGGCAATGTCACTGTGCTGCAGAGAAGCAAGTACATTACTAACAATAACAGATAATTCTACACAAACAATTGCTGTTCTCCAGCATTTGAAAAATGCTAGGAAAGTAAGTGCTTCCTATATAACATCAGAAAAAGAAAAACACCCGATCAAGTTTGTTTTCCTAGTTTACAAAATATTAATATCAAGGGTTGTTGTGTTGCTGTTGACCTGGTAACTGCCACTCATGGGAATTCTTCAGCTGCTGAGCACTAAGCAAAGAGATCCTCTCTTTTCACTCTCAGCAAGTGAGGCTGTGCTAGCTTTCAAAAAACCCAGATCAATGAATAAGTCATTAAAGTTATAGGCAAGTATGAAATACTCACATTTTCAAGGGACAATTAATAACAATCTTAAGCATACCTTTGAAAAACTCTCCCATAACGTAACTCAGAGATTGACACATCAGAACAAGGAGCCCGCACACCTGCCCGATGCCATTTTGAACAGAGATATAGCTGTCAGTGAGCCCAAGGCCCCGCAGCAGCCTCCTGCTCCACAGCTCACCAGAGTGGCTCCGAGTCGTCACTGGCATTAATGTAAGCAGCCTAAAAAAAGCAGGATCTGTGAGATACAGCCACGCAAACCAACACCTTTCCAGGTATTTCCTTTTGTTGGTTTATGGCAGTGCACCCTTTGTACTCAGTACTTCCTAGACAAGATACTGGAAACTATCTGGGAGAAGGGGAGAGACCAACTGTTCAAGTGACTGACTGGGGAGGTACAGTAACGTAAGAGGGACAATAGGGACCTTGACGTAGGTATAAATAGGAGCTGTCAGAGATATGCATATCGAACTCATCTTCTAACATACAGTTTCCAGGCAGACTCACACAAACTCGTCACATTGATCAAATTTTTCCAGAGCTCTAGGGAAGAAACAGATGCTTTAGCAAGTTTTGCATTACAGGGTAACATTTGTTTTAAAATCATGTGTGTGGAGGAGGGAAGGGAAGATGGCTGCTTCAGCGCAGATGTGAGGAGCCTTTCCCTTCCTGAAGGCTGGCCAGGCTTTCCATGTCCCACTGAAAGGACAAGGAGGAGAAGAAAGGTGGGAATGCATGCATAGGGTCCGTTCACGCAAACTTAGCAACAACTTGGAGCATGGGAAGAGGGAGCGTAGGGCAGCCTGCTCATGTCCTTCTAGACTTGTTCTGTAACACATAATATCTACCACTTGTTCTGGGATTAAGGTAGGAGGGAAGGTGGGAGAAGGAAAGCGTCATCCTGGGAGGGCCCCATATGCCACCTCCATATCCTGGCAGAAAGCTGGAAAGTGGAGATCTCCCCAGCTACCAAATCAAGGGAGAGGGGGGCTGTAGGCAGGCAAGTCAGAGAGAGAAAATGAGCAGCAGCATGGCAAGAAGAACCTGCAGCAGGGCTGGGCACTTCATGTGGTGCTGGTTGGAAAACTCAAAGTCCCCAGCCAATGCAACCCGCAGGATGGAACCGCCCCAACCGTAATTCAAAATGTCCCAAAAAATCCACCATTTTTAGATACATCTTCCCACAGACAAAGATACAAACTAGCCAGGGTGAAGCTATTTGCATAGAAAGCAGTGTGCAATCTATCAAATGCCATGTACGAGGGAAAAATAACAAATGAGACAATCTGAGCATCTCACCGACAAATTCATTTATCTTCACAACACCTTGCAATTCAAACACTCCTGACTATTAGCAGTACAGTAATTCAGTAAATTGGCCACTTGATTATCAAAAACCTATATTACCTTTAAAAAATGATCCCCTTCAGAAGTATTTTCTTACTATTTGTCCACTATCAGTATCAGTGGGAATTATGAGCTCACAGGTCCGGCCATAGGCTGTGTACTGCCAAACTGAGCAGTAGACAAGGACCTCTGAACTGGAGATGAAACACTAACCAGAACAGCAAACCCAGCATTGCTCAGGAACTGATCCAGCCTCCCAAGTGCTATACCAGTACTCTAACTAATAGACCATCTTCCTTTTTCCTTGCCATGCCTTGCCTTGCCTTGCCTTACCTTACCTTCCTGTCCCTCTTCCCTTATCAATTTTTGGAGTACTCTGAAATCACATTTGCCATTTTCAAAAGCATTACATTAGAAGTGCCGTTCAAAGAGTATACATAGCCCCACAGCTTAATTATTATCCTTACCCAAAATAGTTATAGAGTGATAGTAACCTACTATTTCTGGTGAGAGAAAACACTTCTGTAGACTACTGACCTCTGTCACTTCTCCCTATAACGATTTATCTCTCAATCCAGTCCAAGAGAGATGATACAAGTTAAGTTGCCATGCTGAACAATGCTAGATATGTTTGGGGTGTTAGACTTCTATAAAGTGCTATCAGATAATAAAGTGCTTTATTCTGTATTGATGTTCCACTGTAAGAGTAAATCCACGCAGGACAGCCTGCCCCATGCTTTGTGTTCTGACTGTCAAATTAAAGACGAAGAATAAATAAAAAGCTCACGACTATATCCCTGTTGATGAGAGCTTGCAGATCAGCAATGCATGCCACAGTTCCTAGAAAATATCTCGTATTTAAACAATCTGGACATTGCTAACCCATGAAAATTCCATATCAAATGAATAAAGGTTTAGCGTCAGTGTAGTCAAAGGCTTTCTGGCATAGACAGATGCATGTGCGGGTTCAGGACATGTTTTTCCAACTTCTGCAAATTAAAAAAAGAAATCAAGCTGCTATTCAGAGCTTATACACAGAGTTAAAATATGCGGACTCAGACATGTTATAAGGGATCAGAATACTCTAGCCAGTTCATAAGTTTTTTCCCACTAACTAAGCACTATTAAAAGGGAAGAACAAATCATCAACTCTTAAAAGTGCACACACACAGTCCTTCTCCATTGGAAAAAACACTTCATGTTCAAGAGATTCATTCTTTTAAAAAAATAAATGTTTAAAAAGAAACAGGCATCTGAAAAAATTTCCTAAGTCAAAATCGAGATCATTTATAAAACTTAACTGTAATGGAATTAAAAAAACAAAAAGACAAAACCCATCACAAGTGATTTTTTGGCAAGGGAATACCTGACAAAGCAGCAGCTGTACTGCTTACCTAGTTAGCAGCTTATCACACTATTTCTGTCATCTTGGATAGAAAGGCTGGTATTAGGACATACCCCAGAGCGAAGAAAATGGAGATCTTGAACCAAACCCACACACACTGTTATCTTCTAATGTGTTTAATTGGTTTAAGATTCTTCCATCCCGGCATGAGAGATACTGTTACTAAAAATAAAAAGTGCTCCATCTTCCGAGCAGCAGTGGAGACCTGCAGGCAGGATGAAGAGGGCATTTTAAGTATTATTGAAAAGGAGAAAGTAAATTAATATAGGTTTAACACAATTACTCTTTTTGAAGAGGCTCGTGTCAAGCCACCTGGCAGGGATAGCTAAGGAGAGCAAGTAGAGAGCCAGGCAGTCACAGCTTTGTGAAGTTAATATGTATGAAAAAAAAGGAAGAACAATAGTATATTCCTAATTCAGCTTTTCATTCTAAAATCACAAGAACACTCTTACACCATTAAATTTTCATTCTCCTGGATTTTGGTTTTTTTTTTTTTTGGTAGGAAACAATGTCTGATTTAAGACTCAATAGATCAAATACTCTTCAATCCTGAAGGCAAGGAAGGATTAGGTAGAACAGCAGAAGGAAGGGTGTACTGTTGATCTATTTATATTCCACCACTTATTGGGTCAGCAAAGTCTTACATAAAAGCTTTGTAGTAGCTGGAATTTGACTTGCTCTATATACATGACATGAATTAGCTTCCTCACAGACCTACTTTGCTTAGCCTGATGAAGGGAAATGGTTTGTGCATTTCTAAATCCAAGTTTTGTTGTCTTGAATACCTCTGATCTCAGAACAGAAATTCTTCTTTGTATCTGTCATAGACATCACTTCTTTCAAACAAATCAAAATATACATACTTATCTTTAAGTGCTTTAGCATTGCAAAAGATTCCCATGTATTACCACAACCTTGAAGAAAGAGAATGACTACAAACAAAATGAATCATTAAAGTAGTATAGAGTCAAAGAAGTTCTGCCCCAATCTCCCTATTATTTGTATGTTGTAATGTTTAGCACTTTTTTAATATCTCAAAGGCTGCAGCAAACATTTCTCCCACGAAAATGGTCCATTTTTCATTTTATTCCTAGCTGTCTACACCATTCTAAAACCTTAGGAACTGCTGCACTCTTATCTTTCATAATAAAAGCAAGCCTAATGTTCATAACCACTCCTGGAAGGTCTTTCATCATCTTTGCCAGCTTTTTTTTTTTGTACATGAAATGCAATGTTAAGAACAGTTCACTACATGCCAGGTGCAAACAGGATCTCCACAATTACATGTTAATAAGAATTGTCCTATGGGATGACAGAGAGAAGGTGGAGAAGGTGGAGCTGAAAGCCCTGAACAATTCAGACTTACATCTCTGTTGCAGATCCAGAAAAGCTTCTGATCTGAACTGCCCAACTTTCACTCCCGATTTTACATTGTGTGTTGTGAAAAGCAGACACAATCAGCCACTCATGACATGGGCGAGCATGTTACTTTGAAGAATGTTACAGGTAAGTAAAGATCAGCCTTTAGGGATTATATTTTTATCAGACATGTTGTCCGAGAAGAATATTTGCATCTCAGTTATTTCAATCCAGT